GTATTTTCATTTTTGCTCAGTTAAAAATATTTTCTAATTTCTCTTGAAACTTATTTAACTTATAGATTATTTATAAATATGTTGTTTAATAGTTAACTATTTGGAGATTTTCTAGTTATTGAATCTAATTTAATTATTTTCAGAGAATTTTCTTTGTATGATCACAACTCATTTCAATTTGATAAAATTTTTCTCATGACTCAAATATGCTCTATATTGGCAGATTCTCCATGTGCATTTGAAAATAATATGAATTCTGCTGTTGGCATATAGTGTTTTTTAGGGTTTTTTAAAGTTTTATTTCTTTATTTAATGAATGAGAAAGACAGAGAGTTAGGCACTCCTAAGAGGATCTTGACGCCCCGACCTACCCCCAGCCTCACAGCCCACATGTGCCCAGTGTACCGAGGGACATATCTGGATACGAATCTGAAGCCTGCCCAAATGGAATGGTCTCTGCGCATCCCCTCTTACTGCCGTGCCATCTGGCCCTAGTAGAGGGCTTTACTCGTGTCAGATCGGTCCAGCTGGCTGACGGTAATAATCAGTTCTTCTCTATCAGTTGCCCTCCTCTGGGGGAAATTTTGCTCCCCTTTGGACATTTGACAATGAGACATTATTGATTATCACAACTAGTGGGCAGCTACTGGCATCTAGTGGGTAGACTCTTCTGACCTCATGCTGGTACACATCCCACAGTGCACAGGACAGGCCTCTTCCTCTCATCATCACGGCGCCATGGTCAACACAGAATTACCTGGCCCAAGGATTAATAAAGCCAAGGTGGACAAGCCCCTCTGCCTAATTTTCTCTCTACTAGTTCTGTTGATCACTGAGAGACAAGTACATATCGAACTGTCCCTGTAAATGTGGCCCTCTCTCCTTTCACTTTTATCATTTTTTTGCTTCACCTAGATTAATTCTCTGTTACTAAGCACATACACATTTGGGACTTTTTGGTCTTCTTGATCAAGTTTTCCTTTTATTATTAAGTTATTATTATTATTACCCCCAGGTAAATTTTCTTGCTGAAATATACTTCAAAATTAGTAAAATCACCCCAGCTTTTCTTCAGCATTTGCCTGGGATGTCTTTTCCATTCTTTTAGTTTAACTCACTTTTGTTTATTAATGTGGCTTTCTTAAAGAAAACATGTAACTGAGTTTTGTTTTTCTTTTGTAATTCATACTGATAATTATGTCTTTTAATTGGTGTGCTTAGGTCACTTTCATTTAGTGTAAGTATTTTTATGTTCAGATTCAGGTCTACCAACTTAACATGTGTTTTATGTTTATTCTGTTCCCCTTTTCCTGCCTTTGGGGGATTATTTGGATTTTTGAAGACTGTCTCATTGTCATGTGTATATTTAGATTTTACTGTATCTCTGTGTGTCTTAGTGATTGCTCTGGGGATTTGAATATACATACTTAACTTTTCACAGCTGCTATGGTTTAAATATGTCCCCTCAAATTTATGTTCTGGGATTTAGTTCTATTGTGAAGGTTTTAAGAGGAAACAATCTGACTGCAAGACTAGGAGGAGGTGGCTCTAGGAGGTATGACTAGGGTGGGGACCCCATAACCGAATGCTGGTGGATTTGTAAGGGTGGGAATGGGACAGGCAGGGACACGTGGACACAGACACATTCTGCTTTGCTCAGGCTCCTGCCCTCCACCGTGGTATCCTCCAGCAGGAGACCTTCACTGCAAGTGGTCCTTGACCCTGGACCTCCAAACCATGAGGGGAATAAACGTCTAGTTTTACTTTAGGAATCACCCAGACTTGGGTGTTTCTGTTACAATGGACTAGGACAAATGCTTATTTAAAATTAATATTTTAGTACCTCAAAGCAACGTAAACATCTTACATTATATAGGTCCCTCAACACATCACATCTGTCATCTGTATTGCATTGACAGACTTCGACAATCCCATCAGACGGCCTGACGATTTTTGCTTTCACCCGCATATATAGATTGTAAGAAGAGGGAAGTGCTTACTGTATTTTCCCAGATATTTACCGTTTCCTCTTCCTTTATTCCCAGATCCCAAGTTTTTCTCTAAAACAATTTGTCTTTCACCTGAAGAACTTCCTTTGACATTTCTTTCACAGTAGTTCAGCCAGAAGCAAACTTTTTATATGGGTTCATCCAAGAATGCTTTATTTTGCCTTGATTTGTAAAGAATACCTTCACTGCCTGGGTTAATCGTTATTTTCTTTTGATACCTTAAAAGCTATTTTTCCAGGAGCCCTAGCTTCCATGGTTTCTGATGTGGAGCTATTCAGGTCGCCATGGTCTGGGTCCCCATGCCATTATTTCCTGGCAGGCTTCAACTCTTTCTTTAATTTTGAGCAGTTTGACTATGTGTCCAAATGTGGGTTTCTTCAAGCTTAGTTACTCTGCTTGGCATTTGCTGAGCTTCTTGCATTTGAAATTTTTATTTCTTTAACTAACTTTTGTAGGTTTTTAGCCATTTTTCCTTCTGATATTCTCCTGCACTTTGACTCCTTTTTCTCTCCTTCTTTAAAAACAAAAGTACATATATGTGATATATACATCTGTGTGTGTGTGTGTGTGTGTGTGTGCGCGCGTGCGCTTGTGTGTGTGTGTGTACATATATATTGAAGCAGGCTTTGGACACTGATTTAAAGGCAGCTCAGAGTGAATTGATACACAATTTTAGGACTCACTTTTTTTGAGCTCTCTCCTTTTTTGCCACCTCCCCATTACTTTGTGGCTCCCAGAAGCCCCTCACCTACCCCTACCCATCTTCTTGGTCTTCTTGCTGGAAGCCCAGAGAGTCTGAGTCCCAGACCTGCACACTTCCCACTGCTGTTTCTGCCTCTAGGACCGAGTGGAGTAGGAGAGGCAAAACGAAGCAGCCCCTGGCCTGCTTCTTGGGACCCAGACTCAGAGACACTGGTTCTCCCCCTAGCCCTGGCACTTGAGAGGCCAGCCGGGCTGACCCCAGTGGCACAACACTGCCTGGAGCTGAGGCAAACAAAAGGGAAAAACAAGACTTCCCTTCCTCTCACCCTGACAGGTGCCCTTTTCTGTTCCTTGGATCCGAAAGAAAGGCTCCTTTTAGAGACGAGAGATCTTTCAGCTCCTACACAGCACAACATTGGGGTTGAGGGCTGACTCTGAGTCCAAGCCAAGATTACGGTTGGAAGTAAGGGGGGGGTTCAGGAAACTAGCTGCCGGCTGGTCCCACTCTGGGTCCTGGGTCTGTCTCCAGCCTGCCTGATCCCACCCATCTCCAGACCATGAGTGCACCTCCGTGCTCTGCATCTCAGCTGCTCTCGGTGGTGGGCGGGACACGTTTTCCATCTTCGCTGTGACTGGGACCTCTGCTTCGGCCCATGTGCTTCCTTGCAGCTGAATGATAAGGAAACCTCTGTACTGGTGAACACTGAGCTGTCTCTGGTAACAGGGCCAGTTTTCCCAAATGTGTCTGGTAACAGGCCAGTTTTCCCAAATGTGGTGAGTCCATCATTTCTAAAGCATAGGGTCAGGTTTTAAGCCCAAAAGAACATCGGTGCTGCTGAGAGCTGAGTCACCTTCACTGGTTTACTATGGAGACCACCATCCGCCCCAGGGGGCTATGATCCAGAAGGACTGCGCAGAGGGAACCTTTGACCTTCCACTAAGAGGGAGACCATGAGACTGACAGTAATTGCCATCTGACGTGAGGATCACTGGGTGACAGCTCACACAGCTCCACTGCTGGACACTTACGTGTTGTATCAACCTGCCCCTAAGAAGGGACCAGGAGGGTGAGGTGCAGGGACTGCAGGGCACCCACCTGCCATGCCCGCAGGGAACACAGGCAGTGAACACCTGTCTCCCAACAGCACGCTTCTGCTGGCCGTTTCAGAATTTCGGTCCAAAATTAGAAAATCAGCAAAAAAGAGGGGCTGGGCTGTAGAAGGAAAAGGGAACCGCAACAAAGCAGAAGAGAGTTTGGGCGCCCTTCCTCGCCCTGGAGCTTCCTCACTTCTGAGTCTTCACTCTTTACAATAGGGAAACAGGATGGATCTTGCTGGATTGGTAAGGATTGAAACAGCATGTCCACAGGTCCTTGTAACGATAGTTAATAACTGACACGAATCATGTTTTCACTCTGTGCCAGGCACTGTTTTAAGCACTTTAGAATATTACAGAATTTACACTCCCTGGTAGAATGATTAGGATTCAGTTTTCACAAACTAAGAAACTAAGGCACTGAGAATTTAGAACTTAGGCCTTCCACATCATACCTGTGGAGACCAGAGTCGCCCTGGCTGGCAGCCATGACTAGCATCAGACTTTGCCTGCACTTTGACTTCTACAGTTGCTCCAGGTGAGAAAAGCAAAGGGGGTCGGAGGCAGGAAACAGCACATTCCCTCCAGGCTTGGCCAGGCTCACTCCTCCAAGGGCGAAATAAGGACGTTTCTGCACTGTTGTTCCTTTTGCTCTGTGATTATAATAACCAGGGCTTACCTAGGTCTTCTGGGTGCAAAAGGTGAAGAGAGATATAATAAGGGACTCTTTACTCCTATCGTGTTCCTTCAGATCCAGAATTAGGTTGTTCCTCAAAGCTCAGCAGCCCCTCCCCAGGGACACACGTAAAAACCGAAGGAAACACTGGTTCGTGATGGGGTTTGGGAAGTGGCAGACACCCCAGAACACACGTGGGCACACATACGACCCTGAGTGGGGACACGTGGGGAAGTCCAGGACAATGGAGGATTCATAAGTCAGGGACTGGCACAGTTTGAGAGGCATTGAGCATCCTTCAGCCCCGTGCTGCATCAGCCAGTACACCCGAGCAAGCCGAGGTCTTGGAGGGCATACACGTGCTAAAGTCCTTGGCTGGGTTTCTTCTGATGCCCTGATTTCCCTCCACTCCCCCTTTTCTCTTTCTATAAACCATTAGAGAGCAAAACACTATGCTTAGGGGGGACTCCAGTATCCTTATGGCGTCTCCTAACTAGATGTTTTTCTGTTCTCATCAGAATCTATCTTCTGGTAGTTTCATGTGGCTCTGTCCTCAAACCAACCACCAGCCAATCCAAGCGACCTACTTCAGGGGTACTCTCTTACTAAGACAGCATGGCCAAGGGTGGAAAAGGCCCCAAGGGCAAGAAGATCACTTTCAAGGTGGCCAAGAATTGCATCAAGGTCACGTTCGATGGGAAAAAGCGTCTTGACTTGAGCAAGATGGGAATCACCACCTTCCCCAAGTGTATTCTGCGGCTCAATGATGTGGACGAGCTAGATCTCAGCCGAAATCTGATTAAGAAGATCCCTGAATCTATTTCCAAGTTCCAGAACCTACGGTGGCTGGACCTGCACAGCAACTACATCGACAAGCTCCCTGAGTCCATCGGCCAGATGACCAGCCTGCTATACCTCAACCTCAGCAACAACAAGCTGACCACCAACGGGCTGCCTGTGGAGCTCAACCAGCTCAAGAACATCCGGACAGTGAACTTAGGCCTGAACCACCTAGACAGCGTGCCCACCACGCTGGGCGCCCTGAAGGAGCTGCATGAGGTGGGGCTCAATGACAACCTGCTTACCTCTATTCCCGCCAGCATCTCCAAGCTCCCCAAGCTGAAAAAGCTCAACACCAAGCGGAACCCCTTTCCAAAGGAAGAGGAATCAGACCTCTTTATTGATTCCATCAAGCGGCTGGAGAACTTATATCTGGTAGAGGAGAAGGACCTATGTGGGCCTTGCCTGAGGAAATGCCAACTGGCCCGAGAAAAGCTGAACAAAATCAAGACCATGACCTCGTTTGCACAGAGAAAGGCTGTCTTTTCCAATCTGGTTGCACCCAACTCCATGGCCAAGGATTCCCAGGAAGACTGGAGGTGACCTGGGACCCTGACCCTGAGGCAGGGGGGGGGGGGACTCCAGTATCCTTATGGCGTCTCCTAACTAGATGTTTTTCTGTTCTCATCAGAATCTATCTTCTGGTAGTTTCATGTGGCTCTGTCCTCAAACCAACCACCAGCCAATCCAAGCGACCTACTTCAGGGGTACTCTCTTACTAAGACAGCATGGCCAAGGGTGGAAAAGGCCCCAAGGGCAAGAAGATCACTTTCAAGGTGGCCAAGAATTGCATCAAGGTCACGTTCGATGGGAAAAAGCGTCTTGACTTGAGCAAGATGGGAATCACCACCTTCCCCAAGTGTATTCTGCGGCTCAATGATGTGGACGAGCTAGATCTCAGCCGAAATCTGATTAAGAAGATCCCTGAATCTATTTCCAAGTTCCAGAACCTACGGTGGCTGGACCTGCACAGCAACTACATCGACAAGCTCCCTGAGTCCATCGGCCAGATGACCAGCCTGCTATACCTCAACCTCAGCAACAACAAGCTGACCACCAACGGGCTGCCTGTGGAGCTCAACCAGCTCAAGAACATCCGGACAGTGAACTTAGGCCTGAACCACCTAGACAGCGTGCCCACCACGCTGGGCGCCCTGAAGGAGCTGCATGAGGTGGGGCTCAATGACAACCTGCTTACCTCTATTCCCGCCAGCATCTCCAAGCTCCCCAAGCTGAAAAAGCTCAACACCAAGCGGAACCCCTTTCCAAAGGAAGAGGAATCAGACCTCTTTATTGATTCCATCAAGCGGCTGGAGAACTTATATCTGGTAGAGGAGAAGGACCTATGTGGGCCTTGCCTGAGGAAATGCCAACTGGCCCGAGAAAAGCTGAACAAAATCAAGACCATGACCTCGTTTGCACAGAGAAAGGCTGTCTTTTCCAATCTGGTTGCACCCAACTCCATGGCCAAGGATTCCCAGGAAGACTGGAGGTGACCTGGGACCCTGACCCTGAGGCAGGAGGGGAAAGGGGAGGCAGGAAGAGGGAAGAGGTCTGCATCCATAGGAAACTGAGGGCTCCCCCTGTTACTACAATAGCTCTCCCAGCCAAGTCCATAAAACACCTCTCCCTACCTCCTTGGCTTATGATTTTGTTGACTACAGGGTTCTTGTTTCCTTGCCATCACGCACATTGCTCTCCTCTCCTGCCCACATGCACATGTCATACCTACAGATGCATTGAGGCTGTCCAACTCACGTCTTCCCTACAGCTCTCCTGCCTATAGCCTTTGGCCTGCACAGTTAACACAGCCAGCACACTCTCACTTTCACTCTCACTCACACACTCTCACTCTCACTCACACAGTTTCATACACTCTCATTAACACTCACACTTTCACTCACACTCTCACTCACACTATCTTTCATGCACTCACACTCACATTCTCACTCACACTCTCACTCACACTCACACTATCATTTATACACTCACACTCTCACTTCAGGACCCACCACCAGCTCTCAGACATGAACCTTGGTCTTGGAAATGTAGAGTCTGCCTTCAAAGGTCAGGCATCTCAGAGTCTGAGTTGGTAGGAGAGCAGACGGCACTTGTCCTTGGGTAGGGGACAAAGCTGGCCACAGATATGGGCAGAACTTCCCATTCAGTACTGGTAAGTAACGTCTTGGATCCAGCCGCGCGCTCTCTTCCTCTTATCTGCTCATTCACGATTTGCTTTAGGAGCTTTCTAGGCCTTCAGGCCTTTGTCTGCCTGCGAATGAATGAGGTGGACCTCTCATTCTGTAATGTCCAGTGCTTTTCCAGACCTTTGTGAGAGGAAGGAACCAATGAGGACAAATACGGGTTGACGAATTCAATAAATAAATACATTACTATGTATCATGCTAGGGGCAGGGATCCTGCCCACCTGGAGAAACCTTGGTTTGCCCTAGTCAAGCTGGATGAAAAACCAGCTACAAGAAAATGGGGCAGAACAGCATCATCTGAGGAACTCCGGAGACCAGGGCCACGTGTTGTGCAGGGCTGGCCTAGAGTAAAGTCAGGGATTTTGCGGTCTGTTGGATTTAGGTCCATGCAGCTTTGCTTCTTCCTTGCTTGGGCATCCTATTTACCTTTGATTCCCTCATCTGTGAAGTGGGAATAAAACCATTTCTAGCTTCAAGGCTGGATGCATATACAGTATTGCCAGTAGAAGTCAGCTCTCTCCAAGGAGAGCTTGGTGCACTTCAAACCAGCAATCTGACTGGACAATGCTGCTGGTCACACTGGGCCTCTTGGCAGATATGACGATGCTAGAGTTGGTCTTTCCAATAGCTACAAACCGCATCTGGCCTCACTAGGTATTTCCCACCTTTGTACTACCTACAAGAAAGGGAGAATACCTTGGGGAAGGGCTTCCCCAACCCAGGATTCTGATGTTGATAGCAAGTTTTGCTCCTGACCAGTGGGAAACACTGGGAGGCATCCTTCAGTGTGGTGGGATTGGCTTCTTTCTTCACTATAAACCATAGCAGACAGTACACTTCCTTTTTTCACTTCGCATCTTATTTTGTGAGGCTTAGCTGTGACAACCCTACCATAGTTTTTAAATCTTGGAAGAGCTAGATTTCAAATCTTCTATTTCAGTTGTTTTTCCTTTCAGTAAATGTTTTCCATGATAAAAGTGACAAACCTACAACACAGTTTTAAATATCATAGAATAAAATAGCCGTCATTCTACAATGTGAGCTAACTGGACTACTAGCAGATTTCCTCCCTTGTTGTTTTTCTGCTTATATTTTTGTGTATCGTTAAAATTATAGTGTTCATGTTATTTTCTACACTGCCTTGAAGCCCATGTTATTACATGGTCTTAATAACCATGATTTAAAACATCTGCGAAGTAGTTATTATGGATATACGTACTAAGTTATTGTTGGGCATTTAAGGTGTTTTCAATTCTGCACTAATAAAAATAGTTTTGTAATGAGAGCCTATATGACTAACATGTTTAAAAATACTTTAGATTATTTTCTTGACATAGATTTGTTCATAAAAATAGTAAAGAGTAATATTATTAAAGAGTATTTTAAAAAATAATTTTTGGTGCATGACTTCAAGTAGCTTATAAAAGTTTTACCTGTATTCCTATACCTACCGGGAAAATACTACAAAGCCTGATTTTCTGTATTCTTGCCAACACTGAGTATTATTCTTTACATTTTTCTCTTTAGTCAACGTCCAAAATGATATATAGGAGCCTTTCCGAGAATGAAGGGAGCAGTCGGGTCTGAGACGTGCATATGAGACGTCATGCCTTCTGCTCAGGGGCCGCCACTAGCAGGCTGGCCATGGACTTGCCCATTTGGTGGCTAACCTGCTACTGCAGTCCCTTCATCTCTGTCCCAAGACAGAGTGTCCATGAAGTGTGCATGATTAGGAGAGAGAGTGATGGCGAGTTACTCTGATGCCGCCCGTTTCTTTTCAGTTCTCTCCTCTAGAGACTGTTTGTTCTTTAGATGAGCGCTCCCTGAAGTATTAAAAAGGATCGATAAGAAGAGAAGTTAAGAAAGCCACGTGGGTCGATCCCACCAGTGTCCCTGGGCAGGATCCCGGTCTGGACAGGGGATTTGTCGTTCCACTCCTCACTCTGCTTGGTCCCATCCTTGAAATGCTTCTCCTGGATTTGGGAGTCATTGCCATGGGCTGGTTGGCAGGGAGGACGGCATGCCTCTGCATCCTTGCTCCAGGACTTCCTGTGCTTTCACTCTGCTGCCAGTCTTCGGGAAGGGTTTTAAGTGTATTTAACTCTACCAGGATTGAGAAATAAGCAGCCAGCTTTGATTTGTTGTGGAATACATTCAAGTCCACACCTTTTTAGCCAGGGAATGCTGGCAGTAGGCTAAGCAATGATTGGAGAGACAGTCCAGTTAGGAGCCATCTCTGCCTTTTCTTTCTTTTTTTCTGTCAAGGAAAAAGCTTGATGTTGATGTTGATGTTTCTTTTTGCTCTAAAATACTAGTCACCTTCACTTCCTGGAAGTTGTATTAAGCCTGAAAACACCTGATAGGAAAGCTATGGGGTTCTCCTTCCTTAAATAGAATAAAAACCCTATTCCAGGAACCTGAAAGCCAGGCATGACCTAGTGACCCTGGGTGCCCTCTGCCCTTGCTGTGGTTTGCTTCTGTGACCTGGAGCGACTGCCTCAGCCTCTCCTGTCTCCATTCCCCAGGTTGCGCTTGTCATCTTCCTAGAGTAGTTATGGCAAAAACCTGAAGACTAATCAACTAACAGGAATAGACGACCCCGAAGAGGAAAAGCCCTCAGTTAGGAGAAGACAGAAAGTGGCAAGGGAACATTCGAGAAGCCAGGCTCTCCAATGCTGGCCAAGCCGCTGACTTGTTTTACAAGTTCTTTGCCTCTCTTTATTTTAGGTCACCTATGTGTGAATATGACTTTGACAAATATCTGATGTGGTCTTTTAAATGTATATGGAAGAAACATTTAAGAAAATTATATATCTAGCCAATTAAAGATTTAAAAGAAGACTTAAAGACTTTGAAGGCTTATGGTCTCTACATTTCACTCAAACCAGTATCATCACAACACCAATAGCCTTTAATGAGTAACATAGTATAAGGAGGTATTTCAGCAATTAAAATTTATTAAAAAAAAAGTACACTAAGAAATATGTATAGAAATCAAAGAATTTTAACAAACTTTTCAGTAATGTGCACACAGGTAGGAAAAAGAAAACAGACAAATGGATAACAGAAAAAAAGAAACACAGAGAACAAAAACATAAAATGGCAGGCTTATGTTTAATAATTACATTAAATGTAAATGGTCTACTTTATATTGGCCCTGAACTGAAGACATCCATCATCTTTTCAAGGCACAAACGGTAACACACTGGTAAACTGAGATCATGGACCTCTACCCAGCAGTAGAAAGAAATGCACTATGGGTGCATGCAACAACTTAGATAGCTCAATGGCATTTTTTAAGAAAAAGGACCAACTTCAAAAGGACACATATTCTATGATTTCACTTACAGGACTTTCTATAAATGACAAAATGATAGAAATTAAACACAGATCAGTAGTTGCCAAGAGTAAGGATGGGAGGTGGAGTAAGGAGTAGGACTATAAAGTGATGGCACAAAAAATATCTTTGTGATGATAAAATGATTGTGTATGTCGATTGTGGTGGTGGTAATACAAATCTACACATATAGTAAAATGACAAAAACTGTGCACACGGATGTACCAATGTCAATGTCCTGGCTTTTAAATTGTACGATAGTTACACACATGCAATCACTGCGGGGGGTGGGGAGAGAACTAAGTGAAAGGTGCATGGGGCCTCAATGTACTATTTTTATAATTTCCTATAAATCTATAGTTATTTTAAGATTAAAATTTGAAGAACCAATCTTATAACCTAGACATGACAAATAAACAAATCCTTGTACATACACCCAGCACTAATTTATGAGGTACTATGACAAGCTTAGTGAAAATCTAACATACATAGGAAGCCCAGAGCTGTGATTCCTTAACTTTACCTCAGAATTAAGGCATTTCAGAAGAAAGAGCATCTTAACCTCAGCTCACTGAACCAATCCAAAATTTGCATTGTCAATCTTAGATGCTAAGCTTAAAAGAAAACCCATGGCTTCCTTACTCATGTCCTAGGGTTTTGGGGGTGACCAGGCACAGGTACCAACTGAGGTGGAGGGAGCCTTTAACCAGTGAACTGCTCTTTACAATGCCTGGGCTGTGCACACTTGTCCCCCACCCCCTTGGTAGTGGTGGGTGGTACAGGCTATGGAAGCAACGTAGCTGGATAGAGCTGGAAGGAAAAGAGGCAGACTTGATGTTGAGAATAAGGCTTGAGTAAGGCTTGAGTCAGGCTCTCTCATGGGAAGGGTGTGAGGATCTGGGTAGAGATATAGCCGAGCTAAAACATGAACCTAGTGCAGCAACATAGACAAAGAGTAACATGGGATGGGCTCAAAACAAGGTCTGAGCAGGACCCAGGTGGACTCGCTGGGGCTCTGATGCCCCCTCAGTGAACCAACTATATGAAAAGCATTAACTGTTGCAGCTTCATTACTACTGTCACGTTGAATTTGTGGCCGGGCTGTCTAATCTCTAGTTCACTCTTCTCTAGACCCAGAGATATAAGTAGTTGGCCTCCACAATTGCCCTCCCATGGCTACACTTCCCCAAGAAACCCAAGGACCACACTTTTCCATTCAGTGATAGAACTGAAGCCATCTTTACCAAAGTAATCATGTGTATTTCAGATTTTAGCCTCTCAGTTAGCAACAGTGTTGATCTCTGGGGTATGGGATTAAAGGAGGGGGAATGGCAGGAAGTGGTGCTTGAATTTGAGCCTCCCTACTGCTAACAATGGTGCCTCTGGGGGCATGATTGATTTTTGTGGAAGATCATCTTCTTATGGGAATTTTATAATTTCTTATGATTAGTTTTCTAAATTCTTTGTGTTTCATAGTTTTTCAAAGATCATCTATAAAGGAAACAATAAAACACTCAGCTATGGAACTTTGTACCCCTAGAATGAATTTCATTCTAAATATTATACTTAAATGGTTTACACAATTGAGAGATTTCAGGAATTGCAAACATCCAGGTACAACCAAGCTCTGAATATAAGCATGACCTTGCACCCAGCAGCTTCCTCCAGCCCAGAGATACTTCTGCCTCAGTGACATAGCAAGTTGGCATTTCAGATATTAACAGAGATCCTGGCTGAGGAAGAACACCTCCAGCTCATTCAAAGATGTATGCCTTGCCCAACAGAGATTTGAGAGAGGGAGAGTCTGACAGCCACTCTAGCCTTGTATTTCTCTGGGCTTTTCAAACTCTGACCTCAGTAAAAAATGTTAGGCCCTCATTCTTGCAGAAAACCAATATAGAAAAGAATATTCTGCAGCACTTATTTTCATGTTATATGAAAAGGGAATTGTCATCTTTGGCACCACCCTTCGGATAAGAAAACAGTTGATGCTTAGTGCCTAAAGAAAGTGTTTTCAGGGGCCAGCAGTTGCGTGGTTAGGTTGCTGGATTCCCACATTGCCGATAAGGTTTGAGTACAGGATCTGGCAGCTTGAAAATCATGCTAGGTGCATGTGCTTGTGAGCCCTAAATCCTGAGAGGAGGCTGGAGAAGGGATTTCGGCATGGCCATCCACCTTGGGGATGGGGATGATTTCTCATTTTCCCTCTCACTGTCTATCTCTGGAAAGCACACACTCTCCATAGCAAAAACTTTAGGGAAAAAAAAATGAAAGTTTAAAAAAAATTCACAAAAATGTATTTCTCATGTCTCATGTCTAATAATATTTCTTATATTATTAGAAAATAATGCAAGCCAGCAAGATTGTTTTCTTTTTCTTAGTATGGAAACAATTAATGAGATCATTCCCAGTGACCACATCTATTTTTTTTCTCCTTCAAGGGGTTTTGGGCTGACTTTTAAAGAATTGTGGTGCCCAAATTTAACTGTGAAGCTGTCTCCCATCCTTTTTGGAAGGGCATAAATAAATGTAAGTGAAACGGTGTGTTTCTGCACATGTATATTTTCAAGTATTAT